TTAGCCAACTCTCCCATGAAATATTGTTGTGCCTGGGTGTGTGTTTCTTAAAGTCATTGTGTGTTTTATGTCTGAAACAAACATTGTCTGATCATCCAACTTATTACGCACTACCCAAAGGTCATGTTTTATACACAGAAAGGAAAGCTCTTCTGTGGTAGCTGAGGAATAACAAACTGGATGGTCGCTGAAAACAAGGACTTTAGCCCCAGAGATCCAGTGTCTTAAAAAATGCTCAGTGGCTGTTTGAAAAGGGTAAAATAGGACTGCTATAAGCTACTGGGCAGCCATGGAACTGGAATGTCTTGTGCCAGCCATGTATTTGCTCCCTTCACACCATCTAATCTTTAGCAGCTCCTGGTCCCAGTGGCAGAGCCATTTAAGCCACGGGAAAATGCTGGCATGAGGACAACTGAGCTTAACTAAATTCAAAAGAGATATAGCCCAATTGGAAGGATGCAGGGAAGCACAAGTACCAAAGAGGTGGGATGGTTGCTGTGCCAGAGTGACAGAGGACTCTTCAGCCTAGATAAATGGTAGGGAATATGGGAGTGAAGTATGCTGTTACGAAGTCACAGAGAAAATACAACATCCAGTTTGATACCTAAGGACCAAACTTGACCCTAATCCATCTTGTGGATGTTTGATGTTCCCCTATGTTTTCTTGCAGTTTATTTCTTTTTGTGTAAGCTTAGTAGGCCACTAAGGGCTGTTGAACACCAGGGTCTTGCCTCTGCCCCCAGAAGTCCCTCTACTTCTGACAGCCAGAGATAGAAAGAACATTCTGAACATGCACTGCTACAAGCCTACTTTGCTTCTGTGAAAGTCTTCCCTAGGGCCTCTGCTATAGTCCATGTTGGACAAGCAGCAACTGGGCTAGAGGATCCTTGCATCCAACCATGTGCAAATCTGCTTATGGCATTAAGCAACCACCACCCATTAGAGAGGCTGGGGAATGGTGTCCCACCACTCATTAGAGAGGCTGGGGAATGGTCTCTCAGTGCCTGCTTATGGCATTAAGCAACCACCACCCATTAGAGAGGCTGGGGAATGGTGTCTCAGTGTGAACTAAGGAGGAAAAAAACACGATTAACTACTTTTACAGTGAGGTTTGACAAACCTCTTAAAGCGGAATTTAGGAGGCTGACCATACAGGTCAGTAACAGGTTCAGTGACCCAGGATGTGTCCTACAGCCCTAGAAGAGGGCCAAGAGCTATGGACTAACAGTCATCTCACAAAGAACTCTACTGTTTGAAGACATGTTGGAGCTACAGAGTTGTTTGTTACCCTCTTCCCGGTGATGCCAAAGGTGTGTTCATCTCTACTTCTGCACAGGAGAAGTCACATTCCTAGATACAGAACATAGAGGTGTGTTCATCTCTACTTCTGCACAGGAGTCGTCATATTCCTAGACACAGAACATAAAAAAGTTTCAGCCAATAGGAATAAGATACCGCTATCAGGAATGGCTGCATGAGGATGAATAACTCTGTGTATTCTAATCAATAAATGCTTGTTACAACTTACACTTCTGCATTCATAATCCCTCACCAAAGAAGCCACTCCAGGGCGAGTGCTTCTTTAGTTCCCCTCATCATTTACTTATCATTGAGAAGATCCCCCATGCTTTTCTTTTTCCAGGCTAAACAGTCCCATCTCTTTCATTCTCCTTTGGTATAACAGATGCTCTAGTCCCTTAATCATCTTCATCACCCTTTGGTAGACTTGCTCCAGCATGTCCATGTGTCTCTCACAGTGGGAGCCTGGGAACTGTGCTTCAGATGCATTCAGAACCAGGAAATCTTCCCATCATTAACTCTGGTATCAAATGAGAAAAGCTGTCCCAAAGACTCTAGGAAGAACACATGGCTGGGCAGGCTAAGAAAGGCTACCAAATATGTCTGCCTGTAAGAGACAAGAGAATGGAAATCTGGGAGTCAGACAGAAGGACAAGGTGGAATAAGCCAGGTCTCGCTGAGTGAACAGAGGTTACCTGAGCTAGGAAAACCCAAGTAACAAGCCACAGGGCTATGAAAGTGTCTGTAGAAGCAGTCGGGCCATCAGACATGAGCTACCAAACCCTGCTGCAAGGGATAATACAGCATGTCAACAATACGTTACTTCTGTCTCTGGTACAATCCAGGTGTGTCCGCACCATGCTACACTGGTAAGGCCAGAGAAGCCATGAGCTATGTGGGCACCATCTCCCTGCCAAAGATGGAGGTATGTACTCTGAAGAAAAGTTAGTTCTCAGTAAGCCTTTTCTATCCCAACAGAGTGAAATGGGTATAAGTCCAGGTGAAGATCGTTACCCAGCCCCATGAGTGGGGCAAGCCAGAGGTCTGACCTTAGTGTGGTGTCTTCCCAGACAGGTCAGCAGCTGGGACAGTGCTAATGTTTTGCCAAAAGTGGCAGGTGCTTTCACACCTTCCTCCTTCCCTCAGGTAATGTTTAGCCAATAACTATTGCAGTTAATGTTTATTCGTGTCAGAATACCCTCACTGATGCAGCAGATTGCCATTCTCCACTGACAAGCAGTAAGTCCAGCTGTGAGCTCTTCCGGGAGGGCTATGATGATGTACTGTCCCGACTACGTTGAAATGATCTTGGAAAGTTCTGTTGGCTGCTCTCAGAGCATTAGAAGTACGTGAAGGATGTGATAATTTGACCATTCAGCTGGGCAGTATTTTCTGTGCTCTCAGTTATCTGGCTGAGTGGTTCCTGTCCCAGCTACTGTGCCTTGCAAACATGAGTCTTGCAGATTTATTTTCTTTTTGCAGGGGGAAGTCCTGCTTGGTCATGGAATGACTTGAGCCTGATCTGCAGAGATCTGGGACTAACTTATTTTCATTTTCCATGCAGACTATTTGAGTATGTAAAAAGGTCATTACCAATTCATGAGAAAGCTTACTGAGGAATAGAGGAATTTGAAGTCATAGGTCAAGAAGGAAAAGTATATGCTTCATAAACAAGGATGGAAAATGTGACTTGATGTAGAAGAGGGTGTGAACCAGAGCCCTTCTCTGGAAATGTAATTTCAGGAAAAGCCTTGACAAGGCTGTAGATAGAGTTCAGCTCCTCTGTGCTTAAACCAGTGGGAATGTTGTGCTGGAGTGGTCCAGAAAGGAATGCCAGAACTTGTCTAAAATGGTAGAGCAGAGTCCAAACACAGCTCTGAGTACACCAATCGGTGGTCTTGCAGGTCTCCTCTGAAGCTCTTTGAACTCATTCATTGCACAGAAATTGAAGCAGTGTAGAGAAACAGAAAGAGCTAATTGAGGTAATTGGAAAAGATTAGCAAACAATCTACCTGGTGCCCCATCAGCACAAACTCACTTAGAGGCAGAATCAAGTGCTCTCTTCCATGACATCAATTTTATTGTCTGTTCTTAAAAACCTCCGTTGCAGCTGCCCTGAGTAGCCAAATTCAGTGCCTCTAACCTTTGCAGTTACACATTTTCCATAATCACCAACTTATTTATCTTTGCTTCAGATTGTGTGATTTCACATTACCCTTCACCCAGCTGTCGCTGTGAACATTAATGTCAGCCCTTTACCAAGTGACAGACTGTTGTGTCCTTACCTGAGTCTTGTCCTATCTAAACGGAATAGCCATCAACCTGTTCACAAGGTCACGCTCTGCTCATGTCTTAGCATTCATGTGGCTCTCCTTTGGATGCTCTCCAGTACAGCAACATCCGGACACACCACTGCAGCCAAAGCATCGAGTAGAGCACTTTTTTTACCTTCCAGGTCTTAAATTAAAACAACCTGTTAATGAACTTCAGGATGAGATTAGCCTTATTTTCACATCATCACGCTGAGTGGATTTAGGTAGCAATTTGATAGGACTCCCTTCAGATTACTTTCTGCAAGACTGAAGCAGGGAAAATTATATAAAGTTATGTGAGATGGATAATAAATGAAGCCCCAGGCACTGCTGGATTCATCTCAAAACCTTTTATCTTAAAGTAATCTGCCTATTACTTCCAATATGCTTGGGATTCACTCTTCCATTTCTAAAACTCATCTCTCTGAGAGGCTGACTGTGCAAAATTCAGACTCAAAAATAACAACAACAAAAATAATAAGAACCTGCAGTGTTGTATCCAGTTTCTGAGAGGTTTTGCCATCTGTCCTGGGTTGAGCGACACAGGACTAACTTCTCTTCTAATGCCTGGGAGAACCCCACTTTTGGAAGTTTTCTCCAACTGTAACTCCATCTTTTCCTGAGTTCGGGATACGAGCGGCAATGGGATTTGATTACATGTGTCGCTAACTTCTCTTCTAATGCCTGGGAGAACCCCAGTTTTGGAAGTTGTCTCAAACTGAAACACCATCTTTTCGGGATACGTGGCAATGGGATTTGATTACATGTGTCACCGAGGTTAGACTCTAGAGATGAGACTGAAGTGTTAACAGCCAGGACTGGAATGATGATGGGTGAGTTAAGAGGACTGCATCTTATTAACTTCATCTCTAAATTGTTTCCACATTTACTTTTGCTTTGAACAGTATCTCTCGGGTTGTACCTATGTGGGAACATTTCCCCCGGTCTATTTTGTTCATGCTAGATAAAATGTGCTCATAATGGTTTTGTAACAACACGTTTCCAGTGAATTACAGGATCAGCATAGCTCTGCCTTGTTTCAGATGAGTGCTCCTCGTTCAGAGCAGATATCCTCTCACAGACCTCTTGCTTGCTTCCTTGAGCCTGTGATGGCTCTCTAAGTGCAGTCTCAGTGTTTAAACTAGAAGTGTTCTGGGGTTGAATCTTTAAAAGCCAGGAAGTTCACAGTTTCTGGTGACATGACAGTACGTGATGAATGCATACAGGAAAAAACAGCAGGATGGTCAGGACATCCCCCTGTGCTCACATACCAAGTTGATTACATACCTAATGCTCTGACATTGTGCAATTTTCACATTCTCCTGCCAAGCAAACCAAGATTTCTCATACTTTTAAGTTGCAGTTTGATGATACAGTGTCTACCCTCTTTTAAGGAATGCTGACATTCTCTCCCATTCCTACACCCCAAGGTGAAGAGAGTGTTCTTGTCCAATGAGGTTGGCCGAGCAGTCCTGCTTTAGCTGCCAGTACTTCATTCTGCTGAATGTGGGGGGTACTCCTGAAATCTGAGATCCCGTGTGCTGTTTTCAAATGCTTCTGTAGGCAGTGGTCTGAGCAAGTCAGCTCTTCTGGTTTAACCCCTCTGCTAGCGAAATCCTTTATGCAATCCAGGAAGCAGTTTCTGTAAGTTCATTGTATGTTCCGAGAAGTTCTTTGAACTGCTTGATCTGATCAGATTTGGATATTTGTCCAGCCATGTTCTACAGCCTGTGATTCACTCACACAGGAGGAGGAGGGTTTAAATCAGATCAGTTTTCCAGTCAAGGGCTGGCAATGTGAAAGGTGTGGATCTACCACAGCTAACTCAGTCTAAGCCGAGGCTGCCCTCCCTCCTCTTCACCCCATCCTCTGTGCTGGAACTGTTGCTTGTCTTAACCTGCAAGGAGACAGCCAAGGGAGCAACACTGAGAGAAAACTACACAACTGTTTCTGTAGGGATAGACCATGCACTCATGCTGAACTGCTTGCCAGGGCAGAAGGGGAGAGGTCCTCCCTCTCCTTACCATCCTACCTGTTCTACCCACCTTGCTCCTCTCCTTGCTTTGGTCTTGGCACTCACTGAGCCCTTCCCTGGGCTAATTAAACTCACTTAGATGAAAGCAAGCTAGATGTCTTGTTACTCATTTAGTTTTCTGCAGGGACAGAGAGTTAAATTGTCTCAGAGAGGAATCTGGAAGACACCAGACCAAGGCCAGCAGTAGTGCTGTAGATGTAGCTTTGCTTTTCTGCTTGAGCAGATTCCTGGACCAGCTTGGGTGGGCAATAAACCAGACTGATGCCACTGCCACAGTGGGGACAAGGTCTAAGGGCAATGAGGGCATCCATCATGCCAATTTAATCACCTGAAAAGTGCTGCGGAATGGGAGGCTGAGGGCTGACTCACCCTGTTGTAGAGCAGCAGGTGACCAGGTTTGCAGAAGAGGGAACAGGAGTTGGCTACATTACTGCCAAGGACAGTGTACCCTCAAGTTGGCTCACTTAAGAAGTGAGAAGTTTACAGGCACACACTGTGATATCCTCAGTATCCTCAACAAATGCTGGCACCTGCAAAGGCTGCAGGGCAAACTTTGCTCAACACACATTTTGCTTTCTGTGACTCAGACCCAGCAAGAGATGAAGTGCTGTGACATGTCTTCGGGCTGTTAGAAATGGAGCAGCCAACACACTCACCACAGACAGTTGATAAAGGATCGAAGACCTGGTCCAAGCTCACTGTGACACAAAAATGACCACTACCAAGGGCACAACCCAAACTATGACCAATGCTGCCATGACAGCCATCCCTCCTGTCCCCTTGGAACAGCCAATATCAGCTGGCAACATGACCCTAGTGTAGTTGCTAGACAGCCCTGATGACACAACCCCTTAATTTGGGAAGTAGTGTTGAAGTGGGAAAGGCATGGCACCTTTTTGGGCACCTTATTGAGTTTTTTGCTTCGATTTTCCTTCTGCGGTGTGACAATGAGTGGCATTTACAGCTTGACTCAGTTGTTTTCTACCTGGGAGATGTGTGCCAATTTGGGATGCCCTGGTGTGTCCCACCTGGCCTTCAGCTCCTGCACAGTGGCCATAGAGATCCTGGAGCACAACTGCCTATGGATCTCCATAGGGACTATCACGTCCCCATGAGGCCATCACCTCCCCATGGACTTCTTATGAGAAGTCAGGATCTCCACAGGGACTGTTTCCAGTGTCGGGCAGGGGGGAACAGGAGCTCTTTCCATAGACTTGTCTCCTGAATTAATCAGTTTTAAAAATAATACCCCACAAGATGAATTTAATCCCAGGCTTTTCCACAGAAATTGCATGAGCAGGGTGAGTCACTGTCTCTCACACATGCTGTGGTGGAAACAAATTCCATTGACAAACCAGCTGTGAGTAGGGGCAAGGGCCCCGTTCTTATCTGGACAGTTATCCTCTGTTTATGTAGGGGATTCCTAGCTCCAGATTTTGTTCAAGGTAGAAACTTACATAACACGTCAGAGTTTCCCCTGGTTTCTGGGAATTTCCTGCCCTTCCCCACCTTCCACCGCGACCATCGGAGTCATAGGTCTGAATCCCTGTGTAGCTTCTCCAAGGGCACCAACACCAGGTCCAGCCCACAACAAGCAAGCTGCCAGCTCAGGTAGAAAAGCTTCAGGGTTTTCCTCCCTTGTTATTTAAATCAAAGCCCACAAACATTTTGCCATAGCTACAAAACATGACTTTACTGCTTTCGGTCCTCAACACCCTCCTTTGTTAGAACAGAGCAGGTGAGTAACAGCGGTGGAACAAGTTAGTCCACTTGATAAAGTAATCTGCAGATAAGACACAGAAGGACTTGGATCAGTGCAGGGGGAAATAATGAGCACAACCTGGTGAATGGTATCAGGAAATAATCTCCTCCTGAAATGCCTTGTGTGTTTTCTGCAGTGGCATCTCTGCTCAGCCTCACACTTGAGAATTGAGTGCAGGCTCTAGAGGCACCTTGTTTTCTGGGCAGTAACAACATGTTCAGCTAATTAGCCAGATTCCTGTGTCTTGGTTTCCCTTTGAGAGAGCAGCTTGGGCTGTAATAGTAAGCAGAGGATGTTTAAGATGGATCTAATTAGAAGATCTCTTTGAATCACCTGAGAAGGTAAATGATATTATATCTCTGGATGTCTTCTTTATTTTCTAAAATATATGGGATGGTAACTATTGTGCTGGGTGGATTTTCAAGAGAGGGTGCAATTATTTTGCAACATTTATGAGAAAAAGAAACTTACAGAAAAAGTAAAAAGGAGGTCATGGAAATTACCTCTGTCCTGGGCTAGAGTGAGACCTTGCTATTTACCTCTAGGAATTTCTGCGCTTTAGAGTTAATTTTAAACAACATTTTTCAGCCTGGATGCTGTGGAGAAGAAGAGATTTTATAGCAAACCTGGGTTTCTTTAGCTCTCTGGGGCTTTATACATCAAAGATACTTACTGCCTCTTAGAAGACAGTTTGTATGAGAAAAGATGAGTATGTTCATGTATCTTCTATTTTACCAACTGAAGGTAGATAGACACTTGAGAAATTGCTCACTGAAGAATTTACAGCAATTCTTTTTTCCACAAGAAATTAAATGAACGAGGAGAACAGCCACATTGCTTGAGAGGAATGTTAATATTTTTCCTCATTTTCTATTTGATATTTAGTTCCTAATTTTATGATTTTCTAGATACTTTCTTGGGATTTTTGGACTTCCAACTAGCTATTAAAGCCTATGTAGTAGTGTGGCTCTCATTTGCATGAGTTGCCCTCTGTATGGTTTCTTATGTATACGATTAACAGGGTGTTTGGTCTCAGCTACATGGTCGCACAAAGGGTGGATTTGAAAATAGAGGTTGACCCACAACATTTGAATGTGGATGTCAGTTCGTGAACAGTGCAAATGTTACGTGCAAAACTGTGGCAGATGCTCTTCAACCTCATCGTAAACTTTGCTTAATGACCTTCTTTCCTTTCTATTATCTCTTTTATCAACCCATTATCAATGAAATACAAGTTATCTGTACAGGTTATTGTACCATGTACAAGCTATTGTACCATGTGTTGTGAGAATGTGCTGCATATTCAAAACTATCAGAAATCTTTGTTTTGTTAGTGTTCTATTATTGTCGTGTCCCATCTTATAACTTGGCAATAGTTCCTCTTGATCCGTTTTGATCCATCCTCGTCTTGGGATCAGCCAGTTCCATGGAGGTTGTCACAAGTGGGTGAAATGATGATCTACTTTTTTCTAGAATGCGGATATACTGATGGATAAGTTTAGGAAACTGAAGAGACAATTCCTTTTCTCTACTTTTTTTTTCCCCTCAATTTTTTTTTTCAATCCATTGGATAAAAAAAGACTAACAGTCTTTTATTTTAAATGAATTTTGCTGTGAATTTTGTGTCTGTTTGTGGGTGGGTGTGGTGGTTTTGGGGTTATTTTTTTCGTTTTGGTTTGGGTTTTTTGGGGAGTTTTTGGTTCGTGGGTTGGGGTTTTGTTTGTTTGTTTGTTTGTTTTTTGGTTTTGGGTTTTTTTTGTGATTGGACTAGATGAGCTCAAAGACCCCTTCCAACCACGAATATTCTGTGATTCTGTGCAATGGGAAGATATTCTGAACCAGTGAGAAGTCTTGCTTTCTAGCTTTTCCTATAAAGGAATGTAACAGCAGCCTGGGTCAGCTCAAATATCTAGATGATAGCACAGTTTTCTGGATTGGTGCTTTTTTCCCTCTGTTGTTGTCCTAAAATATCTTAAAATTAATTTTTCCTTTTTAATTGCTCATCAGAGTTCAGCTGACATTTTCTCATACCTCATTTCTGAGTGGTAATAGTCAATTCAGAGTCCATCACAGAATACATAATGTCAGGGTTTTATGTTTTCTGCCTTACACTTACTGTTGAATTTCATTAATGACCCTGTCGCTCAGTACGCTGAGATCTCTATGCAGATCTTCACAGGCAGACTTTGCATTTGTTAGTCCCAATCATTTAAAGTTTTCCACAGTGTGATATCACTAATGACCTTTTTTTCCACATCACTTGAGAACAGAGGGCAAGATACGGGATTACACACACATACCTTCAGATCTCTGGTGATGAGATCTCTTTATTGGAAAAGTAAATAATTTCTTCCTACTTTTCCTGTCTTTTAACCAGGTCAGTATCTAGGTGAGGTCTCTCTGGAGATGAATCTCCCCAAGTATCAACTTTGGTGAGAAACCCTGACAAAACCCCGCTGGATACCCACATTGTTGACGTCACGTGTATTATTTGGCTATAAGCTCATTGCTGCCCTCCATCCATTCACAAGGTGAGACCACAGGTCATGTTCACGTTATAATTTTCTGTCATGGGCTCTTTTGAGCTGGAACGTCACAGTGCAGCCCCCTGTCTACTTGGGAGCACCAGCTCTGATGTGCAATGTGGTGGCAACAGGCAGCCACTGCCAATGTTCATTATCACCTCAGGAGGTGCTGATTTTTTTGCTTTCCCCTGGTGATTCACAGCTTTTCAAAGCCTAAGGACCTAGCTGGCTTATATGAACAGCTTTTCAATCCAAAAAGATCATAATTTTACAAAAGGTAATGATTTTAATCAGGCGGATGTGATCCACTCAGGTACTGTTCGGAACTCTTGTTAAGAGTCTTTTCTCAGTGCTTTCCTATCTTAAAATACTTTTCACAGTCTGCTGGGCTTCTGCCTTTTTCCCTAGCTCTCTACTAGCTATTAATTCTGGAGCTAAGGAAGTGCTTTGTTAGGAATAATTCAGCTCCCTTTCTTTATTCCCTCTGGTTGCATAAAATATATATATTTTATGCACATATATATATATGGGTCTATATGTAGACCTGCTGTAAGAGTTCATGCATGTTTTGCCTCTGCCTTTATGTTTCATCATCCAGTCTACCGCATGAGTAAATTAACTTAGGTATTAATGAGCTGGAAAAAGTTGGGATTCCTGGGTTTTGACTTCAGGCACCACATTATACTCCGGTGTGTCAGTATTCTTGTGTTCTAAGTTATGTACTCATTAACATCAGTGCAATTAATGGAGATGTATACTAAAACCTCAAAATTACAAGTGGTTTTTTCCCCAGGAGTTATCCCTTTTCATTGTTTCCCTTGTTAGCCAAGGGTTAACAAACACACAGGAATCTCTAGCCGAGCCCATGATGAGCTACTAGCTGAGAGGGTCAGCCTCACATCCCCTCCAGAGCAGGACACGGCTGGTGGCAGAGCTCTCCCTGCTGCAACAGGGCAGGCCCCCAACATTTCTAACTATTCCCTCATGTTCCAGCTGTGGGTCTGCCAAGTACCCCTGCAAGGACTATTAGAAGATCCAAAGTCAACTTTTCTCATGGCATATGAATTTCTAGCACCTCACTTGTCCCTGTTAGGAACCTGCTTGGGACTTCGCTTTCTCCAAGCCATTTCTTTCTCCCTCTGTTTTGAGTAGGTAGAGCTGACGTGAAAAAAAAAAAAAAGAAAAAGGAGATATGAGGGGAAACAGTGACAGTGGCAGAGAAATAATTACAGACCTTGTTCCGTGCTTTGTCTTGGATGGAGTGAACAAGCAGAGAGTCTGAAAAACTCTGAACATACTGTTTTTGTAGAGTGTGCTGGCATTTCCTACTGTGTGAGTCAGCTGAAAATTCCCTGATCTTTTTACTTCTTTTTCCTCTCAGGCTGTACAGCAAAGCCCCTGGACAAAATGCCATCCCCGATTACTGCAGGTCTCCACTGCCTGTTTCTACTGCTCACAGCATGTTGCCAGACATCACAGGACTCAAACTTTCGTCCATTCGTCGAATACATAGTGAGTATCCTTTTCTGGTCCCATTGGTTTTCATTTGGTCTCTACTTGTAGCACCCAGCTGCTACAGCTCTCCTTTACATCCACACAACCTGTCAGTATAAGATCAAGGGGGGAAACTGAACCCAGAATCTCCCCAGTGTGTAAAAGCGATAGTGAAATCCAGGAACTGGCCTCTTCTTGCTTCCTGGTCTTAAACCTTCTCCAGAAGGAACTGAGCAAAACTTCTGGTTTCTCACTTGTGTTGGTCTGTGAGGGATTTAAATCGCAGTCCCTGGAGCTAAGCCTGGGTAGCAGTTATGTGGGCACTGGTCATGGAAGGGATTCACCCATCCTAGGAGAGAGAGAGAAACCAAATAAATCAACAGGTATGGAGGTGCTCACAGGTAGGTGATGGGAGTCTCACCACTGTCTTGACGTTAGGACACGAGTACGCATGACCAAAAAGCCACTCGTGACAGACGTTGCACTTGGATTCAGACTTTACTTCAGTTTTCAATTTTTTCAATGATTCTCACACATCTCTTTTGCTCCATCAATAGTGTGAATTATGGAAATCTGTTTTGTTCTTTGTCCTGCATATGGATTTGGTAGCAGACAGTTTCTATACAAATAGTCCCTAACTAGAAATGAGGAAAGAGGAACAGACAAAGGGATTGACCAAATGGAAGTTCATATAGTCTGGTAAAGAAAACTAGTCTACATATCTACCATATCTTGGTCTGCAACAACTACTGCTAGACCAGAAAATACTTCTTTTGTCTTCTACATTGTGAACCCTATCAAACCAAAACAGACTCTAACATCTATATTCAGCCCCCGACACCACAAGATCTTAGTTCTGATGGAGTGACCAGAACACAATGTGCTTTTTTGAGCAGGTTGAAAAAAGACAAGGAGAGGTGAAGAGGGGGAACTCCTTAAGCTGTTTCTGCCACCATCCCCTGTCTTGGCAAACCAAGATACAGATGGTTCCAACAGCCCCATGTGGGGGGTTAGATATAGATGTCTAATAGGGATGAGGTATCTTGTTTGCTCTGTTTTTTTTCAAACTGCCTCCAGCACAGCACTCGGGGATTTTCACAAAAAAGAGTAACACTTTATTTTTTAGCAGCATTGACCCATGGTTGATCCCGTGAAGGAGTCATCACTTAATGGTGTGAAATATGTGAAGTATTTAATGACATAGCAATACCCTGTAGTTGTTTGGGAGAATAATTAAAAAACAAAACCGATGAGACCAAACCTGGATGAAGAAGTGGATCAAAGTGGGAATTCTGTAACTTTTGCAGCTAACCTCTAGGGTGAAAGGTCCTACTCGTAGCAGTGCAAAAAAGCCAATGCACCTAGGGATTTTCACTGCCAGTGCAGCTGCGATATGAAGCCCAGCTCTAATCACACACCAGATGGTTCCTTTATGTAAAGAGATGACTTAAGAGTTGCCAAGCTATTCACCCTTTCTGTAAATAAAGATTTCATTAGGACTCAAGAAACTGGCAAAGCTGCAAATTTCCTGCCAACGTCTTTGCTTGTTCTTTAGCCTTTCTTGCTAACTGCGGTGCCAATGTATTTTTAGGGCACGATTAAAAAAATAGGATGGTCTGCATCACACTTGGCTGCACCCTGCTTGAACCCAGTCATACTGAAATTGTGCCACCACTGCCCTAGTCAAATGTGTCCTACTGGTGGCCCACAAAATAGCTGACCTGACACCTGAGCTGGAGCCAAGATATTTCAATCCCATTTCTATTCCTACTCAGGCTGGCTTTGCTGCAGCAGAGCTGGCAGCTCAGAGCAAAGAGGAAAGCAAAGGGTACTAAAAGCCCACTTTCTGGCCCAAAGGCTGAATGGCCAGGTCTCCCAAGCAATTCGCAAGGCTGGCCCAGGACTGAGAGCACTGCATCAGCCCCAGAGCCGGTTTGTAGCTCAGACAAAGAATTTCTGCTAAGTAGAGACAATTGCAGAGAGACATCTATAAATTCAGTACATGCCTCAGCTGGTGCTTAACATTTGAAGATATAAATATTTAATTTAAAGAGGAGAAAGGGGGCAGGGAGGGGCAAAAATTGACGGAGTGAAAAAAATTATCGATGCTGGCATTTTCTTCACTAATTCCTTTATGCCAGCAACAGCAGCTAAAGTTTTGGTTTGTTTTTTCATAGTGTTTCCCTCTCTTTCTTCTACAGTTTGACAGCATGCTAGGAGAGGAGAGCTTCCAGACAGAGACGCAGAGGCAGAAGCGAAACAGTACGTACACAAATGTATGGTAACAGAGCAGGTTTCTAGTAAGCCAAGGGTGAAATCACTACTGGGGGCAGCATCTCTTGAGGTACTGAGCATCTCTTGAGGTACTATCAAGGGGTAGTTGTTGTGGTTTAACCCCAGCCAGCAGCTAAGCACCACCCAGCCGCTCACCCACTCTCCCCCAGTGGGATGGGGAACAGAATCAGAAGGGTAAAAGTGAGAAAAACTTATGGGTTGAGATGAAGGCAGTTTAATTGATAAAGCAAAGCAAGGAATTCATTCATTTCTGCCCATGGGCAGGCAGGTGTTCAGCCATCTCCAAGACAGCAGGGCTCCATCACGCGTTATACTGACCTGGGAAGACAAACGCTCTAACTCCAAGCACCCTCCCCTTCCTTCTTCTTCTTCCCCTAGCTTTTAGTGCTGATGTCATACGGTGTGGATGTCACGCTGCAGGTCACATGGTGTGTGACATCATACTCGTCAACTGGGGCCAGCTGTCCCAGATGTGCCCCCTTCCAGCTTCTTGTGCACCCCCAGCCTGCTTGCTGGGAGGACAGAGCGGGAAAAGGAGAAAACCTGACGCTGTTACTCTCAGCAATAACAAAAATGTTGTGTTATCAACACTGTTTTCATTACAAATGCAAAACATAGCCCCATATAAGGTACTATGAAGAAATTTAACTATACCCCACCCAAAGCCAGTACAGTAGTAAAAACACAAAGAAAAGAGGGAAATTTTGAGACTGACATATATGGTCACAGATTCTATGCAAGATGAAATACATGGTGATCCAAGCCTCTTAGCAGGACTAGGGTAAAAAGATAATCCTGTGTGACTTCAGGCTCTGGTTGATAACCTATCCACTTGCTGAGTCAAAGGAGAGAAAGGATGAGACAGCTTTTCTCTATATACAGTAATGACATTTACACCAGCTTCCTTTTATTCTGAGACCAAAGAAATCTGGCTTTTGTCAGACAAACAGCAGATAAAACACGTGCAGAATATCTGCTGGTTAGGAATCAAGAAGATTTCCTAAGCAGAAAGCCACACTAAGCTACCATTAAATAGCAACAGAGCCCAAATGCTGAAATGGAAGCCATCCATTTATGCCTTACCCTCACACGCAGCTTTGCAGTCTAATGCTATTTCTCTTTCAGTGATTACTTTTGACTTTTCCTCTGAGGAGCACACCGTTGATATTGAAGTAAGCCTTATGGATTCATCTTTACTGGACCAAGTCAAAAACTATCTCCAAAACCTTAAACTTTCAGTTCCAACAAATATTTCAAATGTAGAAATGAAAGTCTCAAACATCAGTGTTACAACAGGTGGGTTGGTAATTTATTTTTATATTCTGGGTGATGTGCTTTTTTGCCGGTATTTGATCTCTCCCAGTTTTACCATCCAACGTGTTTAAAAATCAACAAAGCTGAACTGTCTCTGCTGTCTACAGAAAGACCTAACGAGGCTGAAGCTGTAGTTGATCTCTCCCAGTTTTACCATCCAACGTGCTTAAAAATCAGCAAAGCTGAACTGTCTCTGCTGTCTACGGAAAGACCTAACGAGGCTGAAGCTGCACACACACAACTGCATGTTTTGTTACCTGCATCCCACCGCTTCTCTTTATGTAAAAGAGAGGGACTCTTTGTCAGGAAGTGCAGTGACAGGACAAGGGGTAATGGTTTTAAATTGGAAGAGGGGAGATTTAAATTAGATACTAGAAAGAAATTCTTTACTGTGAGGGGGGTGAGACACTGGAACAGGTTGCCCAGAGAAGCTGTGGCTGCCCCATCCCTGGAGGGGTTCAAGGCCAGGCTGGATGGGGCTTTGAGCATCCTGGTCTGGTGGGAGGTGTCCCTGCCCATGGCAGGGGGGCTGGAAATAGATTATATTTAGGGTCTCTTCCAACTCTAACCATTCTATGATTCTATGATAATGTTGGCATTAGGAATAGCCCTGAGCACTTTTCCTAAGGAAGGGACTAAGCCAGAGGAAGCCTGAGCCAAAGGATTTCATTCCGGTTTTACTAACAAGCAGTCTGAGTTACTTTCAAGTTTCAGGAAGCTGTGACAGCAGTTGTCAGACTGTTTACTTCCCTCCACTTGGATTTGGAACGTAAACCTCTGTAAGAGGCTGTACTCTGACCCCGACAGAAACAGCCTGCACGAGATGCTGTCTTCGCCTGATAAAACTCACTTAACGTATTCTTACTAGGCAAGATATCAGACAGGTTTTATTACCTGAGTTGTGGTTTTGCAACATCACATCCAAGTAGATAGCACAGTAGAGGATATGGAAACACACCGAGCATTTACAACGGTAGAGGAAGAAATTTGGTACTTCTTATCATTGGCCCATAAAGCAGTGAAAGGAAATGTTCATCGGTTCTCAGAACAACATGCAAATGGATCTTTAAAAGCTTTCAGGGTCACATGCAATGTGTGAAAATGACTTTGTTAATATCTTACTTTGTCAATGGCATGTTACGAGCAGAAAAACTTACAGTGAGCTGTCTTGGGGTGTTTTTTATTAGAGAGAATGTATGTCTTTAAAGTACTTTGTGATAATGTCACCTTCTCTCATGCAGCATCTGTCAGGATGACACAGCACCTCACAAGCCGCTGACACTTGGAATGACATTTACGTGCTCTTACAATCTTTAAAAGCCTGTACACTTGCCTTCAGCCTAGCCAATATAGAAATATCCACTCTGAAAACTGTCATAGGACCCTGGCCAATATGCCAGGTAAATTATGAGGATCAGGCATCACATCTCCATTTAATTACTTAAAAGTAAATGTTCAGACTTATCCCAGTACCAGTCTGGTTCCTATTTCTGGTTAGTTATTTATAATTAGTGTAGTAATATTTGGAAGGCATCAGATCATCACCTTTGCACCAGTCAAGTGAACTCACAAGAAGGGCAACATTTAGGTGAGATCACTGGCATAAAGATACAGCAGGGTAAATATAAATCATACAATACATTATGCCTCGTTTACCATTCTCATGGTGTTTCGCTGTCTGTCTGACTCTAGTCTGTCTGCCCAGTGGTGAGAATGACAGTTGCTGTTCTTGTGAAGATGGATACACCTGGCCAAGTGAGGTGTGCGGTGACTTGATAACCTGCCCTTCTGCCAGCCCAGCACCCAACCAGCCCTGTGGCTATGTGAAGGGCATGCTTTTCCAAGGGCGTTACTGCGAGCCTCAGACCAGAGGTAAGGAGAAACAATGCTGAACTTCATCATTGTACAACTCATACACTGGTTAGAAGATGGAACATCTTCTAGCTGAGCTAACTACCACATTGCCTATGGATGCGGAAAGACTGTAGAGATGGTCTAGAGTTCTGTTTGTGATGTGGGCACACCTTGACCCAAGTACTTGCACGTATCTAGTGCCATGCTGGAGCCACAGCCTCTGGAGTCACTGATATACCTCCTTGGGATTTTTAGTTTTCACTAAGTTTCTTCAGCCTGGAGAAAAGAAGGCTCTGGAGAGACCTTGCTGCAGCCTTTCAGTATTTAAAGGGGGCTTATAAAGCAGACAGTGAAGGACTTCTTACCAGAACCTGTAGTGACAGGACAAGGGGCAATGGTTTTAAACTGAAAGAAGGGAGATTTAGATTAGACATAAAGAAGAAATTATTTACTACAGGATGATGAGACACTGGAGTAGATTGCTCAGAGAAGTTGTGGATGGTCCATTACTGGAAGTGTTCAAGATCAGGTTGGATGTCGCTGCCCATGGCAGGGGGGCTGGACAAATGACATCTGGATCCCTTCCAACCCAAACCATTACATGATTCTAAGAGTCTATGATTAGGTTAGAAGAAAAAGCTAAGAAATCACTTTGTAAGAATTGCTTTTGATTATTTTTACATTTATTTTTATGTTTTTTCTTACAGCCTCATGTGGTACGGGAGACCCCATTGAAATGCAAATGTCAGTCAGACTCGACATAGACTTTCATCCTGATCTCAGCAATTCGTCTTCTGACTCATACAAAAAATACAAAGCTGACCTTGAAACAGCGGTAATTACTTTATTTTTCCATCTCTGATGATAGAAAGCCCTCTAAGAAATAAGGAATTTATTTTAAGTGTCTGGGAAATCGGGTGCATTGTTACTATCTCTGCTGGGAAGCTGTGAAGTATGTGTAGCAGTGGTAGCTACATAGTGGGCCAAAGCTGATCTCCACTGAAATGCAATTACAATATTCCCATTCATTTCAATATGTTGGCCAACGGGGAAGTATTTAGGAACCTTTTGCATGAAAAGCGGGAAAAAACCATCACATTATTGGTCCCATCTTAAATCTACATAAGCACACATAGAACGAAACAACCAACACAAATTTATCCTGTGACAGTGGAGAGAACCCAGCTTGTTCTACCAGCTATGCTACATGCCCTTACTCACATCAATGTTGAACTGAGAGATTCCTATTTTAAGTACTCAAGAGTAATACACAGATGTCTTATGTCACATAATATGTCTTTGTTTACAGTTTAATGCTAGCTACAGATGTTTACCAGGCTTTGTATCGGCAGCAGTATCTGGTTTCAGGTAAGTAAACGAATTTATTTTTTCCTGGAGGACACAAATCTTTCTGCCCAGTCCCAAGGAGACACTAGTCAGCAAAGACTGTGTTCACTCTGGCTAGAACCCACGCCCAGTACATACATGCTGAATAGCAGCATAATAGCTGCCAAAGAAAGCCCATCTATTTGCATGGAAGTAGGATTGTGAGTAAAATTCACTCTTGTGCAAAAGTACAAGAAACTTAATCACTCTCCATCTGGATCCAAGCCTTTTATGGGAAAGACTGAATTCCACCAAAAAGGGGAAAAGGATAGGATGTGATTCAACCTAACATCATCTCCCAGGTCTTCAGGAAGATGAATTAGTGCATTAACTCTGGAGATAACATTGGACCTGCATAAAAAAGACATTACTTAAGTCCACACATATTTAAATGCAGCTGTCTTTTAAGTTTTCTAAGGGAAGTTTACTAGAAACAGACAGCAGATGAAGGAGACATCACAGAAAGGTGTTCTTATTTTGGGAAGAGCTGTAGCACAACCATCTTTTTTACCAGAGCAAGTCTTGAGTCACAACAGGAGTCTTCACAGGTGAAGCCTTCCTAGCCATGCAAGATGGGTCACCACAGTATGGAAAACCACTAGTATGCAGTGATATGTAATTCTTGTCCTTCTCTTGTTCTTGTATCTGTTTAGTCCTGGAAGTGTTTTTGTGAACTACGTAGTAAAAGCAGGAGGAGCAAGCTTCGAACAGATAGCAAGTGCCAACAAAATTTCACCACAATTTCTAGATTCAGCCTACCAGCTAAAGCCAGATACCTTCACAACAAAAATAACTGGTAAGTTTAAAGCTCTTTCAGTATTTTCCTTTGACCTTTACTCTAGTATTTCTAACCTGAACCATGTAGCTGCCTTATACTGTTGATTATTTGACACTGGACCTTCAAAAGCATTTATTTCTCTGGTTGTTTTATTTCATCCTGTGGCACCAAAGTGCAGCACTTACATGAGATGACCATGCACACCGTACCTCACATGGATAAACAAAATCCTTCCAGCTACTCCACTGAACCCCGAAGCACAGATTGAATACCCTTGAGGTCACCTCCAGAACTGAGGCAGCTCAGAGCATGTCAGACTGCCAGCACTTCTCACTTCTTCAAACAAAACAATAAATCTCTTGCAGTTTACATGAGAACAGGTTCCCTCTGGCTTCCTTGGCACATTTTCCATGCTGCTGCTGTACAGTGTGTTAAAATTCTGTTGCCTGATGAAGTGCCCCAGAGGTGCCATACTCTGAGTGCACTGAGTGCTGGACTGTCAAGTAACCAAGAGGTTTACTTGAACCTGGTTGCTACTCCTCCCAGTTTATCTCCTTAGAAAGTAGTGGTGGTGATCATAATTCTGTCTCCCTTCATAAAATCTACTGGGATCTTTGGTGGACAAAGCAGAATAATATGTTGTGGGAAAATTGCATAGCTTTTATCAAAGGTGGTGCCCTGCAACTGATGCTGAGCGTATATTAATTATGAAGCACCTAGGACCCCCATGAGATGAAAAGGCACCATATAGGCCCGAGCAGAAATTATAATAATGCAGAATGTTCCTCTTTGTCTTGCCAGATCAGACAAACTTCACTGTGAGTCTTGAAGACATTTTTGAAGGAGACAAGGTAACACTGATTTGTGAGATAAATTCAACATCTGAGAATGTGACTTGGTACCACCACGGTCAGATCATCTCACCCGACCTCATCAATTCAACCTATGGGAAAACCTCAAAATCGACTCTTGAAATTGCCAACGTTAAAATGAATAATTCTGGTATGATTTTCTTCCGTTAAAACAGCAGATGTAAATCTTTAGTGTAGCCAGTTCTTTAAAAACAGAGAGGAATGCAGTGACTATGTTTTCCTAGAGTAAATGTGAAAAATGCCCTGCCCCTCATAATTTTCCTGCGGGTTTTGTTTTTTTCTGTAGTGAACTACGTACTGACTAGCGTTGCCAGTGAGATGTGAACTGACTGAAGTGACTATACAGGTCTGGGTATTCTTAGTGCAAGGCTTCACTGCCACATCAGAGCAGACAGCGGTGCCTACATGGCTGTGAGGTCTTCCCACCCTTTTGATGTGGTAAATTGAGGCTTGTATTTGTATTCAAGGCTTGTCCTTGAATTTGTCCTTGATGGCCCTTGCCCCCTTTGCAAACATAACCTAATTAATCAGGGCGTGGAGTTACTGTTTTTCATGTGTTCATGTTTAGGGCTTTTTGAAAATCAGAAAGAGATAACTTGGTGGCATTTGTTGGGAGGAGTTATCAGGAGAGTTATTGTGTATTATCAGAGCTCCCACTCAGTTTTTCTCTTGGGACCATGAATTTTACATTCAGCTTCAAAAAGGGTTACCTGTGACCAGGCATTTGGGCATGTTTATGGGAGGTAGGAGTCTTGGCTCCAAACTTCTGTGAGCTAAGGGTGCCCTGAACCTTGGTGTCTCCACTCCTATGAAAGTGGTCTACTCACTTGCTATCCCAATGGGGAAGGGGAACACACGTACCTAAAGTACAAGGGGAGTTTGGAGCTCTGATTACCAATTTCAAAAGGAAGTCTGGATGTATCCAGGAGACAAGTGCCTGAGAAAGTGGCTGATAAATACTCCTATCTCTTTAGCAATACCTTCTGAGCAGTGTAGGTGCCTGCACTCAGACTGCCAGTTCCTCCGGGGTCCACCCTGGGCACCACTCTCTCACCTATTCTGTGGAGGAACCTTTGCGACAGTCAGTACACATTCTTATCATGACATGTTCCTCCCACGTGGACTATGGGCCATATACGTATCTCCAACACACCAACTCAGCCAGATTTTAAGTATCCCAGTCCCAGAGATCTGGTGTCTTCACAACTCCATTAACACTGAAGCTGCCTTATCTAGGCAGATTTGGCACCAGGAGTCCCAAGAGAGCATACTGCAGATGATCTGAGGGTATGTTTTGGTTAGCAGGTAGCAAAGTCACTGCAGAGCAAGGAGATGTGAAAACCAGGTGTGGAAGTAGGTCCCAACTCCTATCTCCAAATGTAGAGGAAAAAACAGCAATGTGTTCTCAATGTTAAGGTGCCAACTCCTATCTCCAAATGTAGAGGAAAAACCAGCAAAATGTGTTCTCAATGCTAAGATACTGCCTATGCTTTACAGGTTCCTACAGCTGTGCTTTCACAAACAGAAATCATCAGTTTCTCACACTGATATACAATGACACAAAAACAATCACAGTCTCTCCACTAAACATCACTCCAAATGTAAACCACATGACTGTTACATGCAACAGTCCTGAAATGCAGAAAAACGGTCCTCTGCTGTCCTGCTGTATTGACAAAAACCTACCATCACTTACTGGTGACTGGAAAGTAAACGGAGAGATCAATATTACAGGTAAGATTAACAAAAGATTGTTTTTCTCCTGCTGGGTTAGTCTGTTCTTCAAAGATCTCCTAAATGGCTACCCCAAAGGCCCAGGATGAGCACAGGGCATGCTCTAAAGGATGGTGCTTGTGTGGGAAGGAGGATGGACGGAGAGCGTGGTACAGACTCCATGTGTGTTGTGCAGGTGCCAGTGGGATTCTGGGCACCTCCATTCACGGTGTGGACGTTGGTGCTTAAAACTGTGCCATCCTGGATGGAAGAAGCTGCCTGGATCAGCATCATGCAGCTTTTTTCAAAAAATCTTATTTCTCCATTCTCTAGTCTTGAGAGCAAGGATGAGTGTATCGGTCTTTACTACTATCTTCAGAATCACCCCTGGGGTATGAAAAGCTTCTGTGTACCACATACAGAGATTTGGCAACCAAGAGAGGCAGGTGGTGCTTTAAAGCAGCTAGATACCAACTGCACAGTTTCCCTCCCTCTTCACCTGTAGTCGTGATACATCGCACGCCAGTTGAGGCAGTGGCATCCCATAAGGCCTTTCTTATAATATGAATATAAAGTGTTAATAAAGCGCTATGTCAATGACTTACAAAATAATATCAACAGAAATGCTAATAAACATCCATGAACCATAGTCATAGACAGCCTATTGTACTCTTCATATTTTATAGGTGTGGGTGAACTATTTACTATTAACCATTTATTAAAAATTAAATTTAGGAGAAAGCTGGACAGCAAAGTGAGAGAAAACCTTCAAAGCCCGTGCGTACAGTCATTTCCACGGGGGACAGGTACTGGCATGCAGTGGTGGTCACGGAGAGAGGGGTGATCCTGTAATGAGCTCTTTCAACATGATTCCCTGCGGCCAGACTTCCTCTCAGGAGGAATCCAAATGTACATCCAGCTGTAGCGTGGGACAGATTTAGTGGGGTTTTCCCCCTGTAGCTAAACCAGAACTCTTCAGATTTAAAGTTTAATGACTGTCAAGTTACCTCCAAGTGTTTATTTAAAAATAAGATGACATTAAAATCTGAAGTATTTACTCCTCTTTTACTGATCTTACTCATCCTGAATATCGCAGATAATGAGGTTAGACAGAGGCAGAATATTCTTCATTTTTGGCTTATCCTGAGGTATCCAAGCAACGTTGTTGTTCTCAGTTAGACTGGTTTTGGCAGTAGGTGCCCAGCACTGTGCTGAGAGCCATCTTCAGGCCTATGGAAGACCAACTGTGAGTGTTGCCAAATGAAAAGGTGTGGATGATCTTCAGCAATGACGAGTTAAAAATGCCATCCTGTCAAAGGCTGCATACAAATCCACAAGGTTTTCCTTAGCTAGAGTGATTCCTTGTGAGTTCCAGAGCCCCGGTATTTTTGGACATCCGTAGACCTTCAAGGAATGTGTATTTCTCTCTAGGTGTCTCCAGTCTCAGAGGAAACTGCACGGAATACAAGCTCAACATCGATGAATCACTGTGCCTACTTGACAAGTCAGGTACGGTGACAACATATACGTGTGAGCTGCAGACTGGAAACGGTGCCAAGAGCAGCCAAAACATCCAAGTGACGTACCTCCTGGCAGGTGAGAGTCAGGTAGCACCTAACAGACCATCAGCTCTTGCATGCCTAAGTGGCCTCTGTGGTGCATGTCATTTGCAAGCCAATGGTTATAACGAGTGACTCTCAATAATATGACATTTATCTTGTGTTGTCTCAGCCCATGTCACAATAAAGGAAAATAACTCCTTATATTCTGAGGGAGATAAATTCAATCTAACATGTGAAAGCAATGTGAGCAATTATGACAAGGTCAGTTGGAAAATCCTGTCTGGAAATAACCCTACAGAAGTAGACTGTGGTACGTGCATCGAAAATACAAAAAATCCATCCCGATCTGTGCTCAAGGTGATGACAGCCACACAGAAGTGGAACGGTGAGTGAACCTGGTTTGTGTCAGCTATAAAGGCAGAGATATCTCTGTACCAGATCATTACAGCACCTCTAGCCCTGCAAATCACTGTGAAGCCTGGCCACAGTGAATAGAGAGTTAAAATTATAGCTGCAGGAGGAACAGCAAGACGTGATGCTGCCAGCAACACTGTGCTTGTTCATTATTCAGACTCATGACCGTGCAAACGCTGAGGGGCACTTCTGTTGACTGAGACATAGTTTTTGTGTCGCTTCTTTCAGGCACCTACATCTGCACATTCTTCCAGAAGGGCTTGAATAGTTCTGCCAATGTGACCATCCACATTGTTTCCTTGCCTCTGCAGCAGAACATCCTGATAGACCCCATCGAAACACCTATACTGTGCAATAGGCCACAAACCCTTCAGTGCTGCATAAATGCTACCGCCGGGGAAGACTACAACGTTACATTCGTGGTTGGAGAAAATAGCTATCAATATGGTAAGGAACAGTAAACTTGCATAGTTGCACTATGTCTCACAAACAAGGGTGGTTTTTTTTGTTTTTTTCAGTTAGGTCCCTGTAACTAATTTGTATTTACTGCTATTATGACAACCTACAAGTACTCCTGAGAGTGTAAGAAAAGGGAAATGGGCTTTTTTTAGGATGGTTCCCATGCCCGGGGAGCATGGCTGAGATTAATAGTAGAGAAGACCCTGAATACCTAAGACCTAATAACTGAAGACCTTGCTGTAGTGAGAAATACATAATAGGTAAATTCAATGTTTGGTTGGCCTTGCCAGGCAGTGAGAAGTGAGCATCCTCATCGCTGTTAAGATTGGAAATTGCTGAACTCCATTTATTTGCTTTTATCTTCCACTCTGCCACTTTTTTGAACTGAGTATCAAGGAAATGTTACTTAAAAAGATGATGTACTAATTCATGAAAAATGTAAAATAACACATGAAGAATGTAGTTGAAAGAACTATTCTATTTTCTTCAAGGATACAGGTAGCATATCTTTAACAGCACAAAAGCCCAAGCTTCTACGTCTTCGAATTTAGGGCAGTTCTGCAGCTTCCCTGGCACGTTTTTATATATTAGGAGTTTTCAAGTAGGTTACAAAACAGTAAATTTAAAAAAAAGCAATGAAAAGCCACCTAAACTAACTCATAAACCATCCAGTAGTGCCAAAACAATAGGCTGAAGTGTAAAGCAGGTGGAGACTGAAGGGTCCTTCAGTTGCTAAGAAAAATGCCAAGATCTTTTCGGAGGAGATTGCAGCCAGGTTCCCTCAGGCACAAGCACGATGAAAAGCAATGGGACTGTGGTACAGATCCTGAGTTCAGAAGAACCATGTAAGAACAGCAAAAGAGTATCCTAGCCTAAATGAAACACCTGTGGTAGAAGCAGAAGCAGGAGGAATATTCTCCAAAATGGTTTCTAAAGCAAATTTTGGTTCCTGAACAGTGAAAGAGGATTTGGGCAGGGTTTGCCCATATAGCAGTGGTTGAAAATGAACTGATCATGCAGCTGCTGCCAGGAGATTTATTAAGTAGGGAGTTAGAAACAGAGATCAGCATTCAGAGTAGACATTTTTCCACAAAGGAAGTTTTTTTTTTCTATAAGTCCAAGTCCCACAGCAAAGAAAGTTTTGCAGAAGCTTTCTGCTGTCTGCTAGCTGATTGACCCCAAATCTGTGTTAACCTATCTTAATCCTTCCATACAGCAAACAAGGAAAACGGAACTTTGTTGTGCTACATGTACAATTACACAGAAAAAAATTGTAGCCAAAGGAGAAACCTCACAGCGTACTGCAAGTTTACCAACAGCATCAAACATAATGCCAAGAGTGAAAATATAACACTGAAACTGATATCTGGTAAGATAAAAGTTACTATTTAAAGCTGTTAAATAGGAAATCCCAGTATCTTTGTTAAATCAGATGCCACAAATTTATCACCTGTGACACCTAATAAGAACAGTTTTTGTTAACCAAGAATTTTTGTCTCCTTTTTTTGAAATTTTAAAATACAGAGGAAAATATCAATTTTGCTGAAATTAAAAAAAAAAAAAAAATTACTGTATTTGACAGTGGCCTCAATATGTTCCCAAGGTTCCCAAGCAGTTCTAGTTTGGTCATCTTCTGTCATCTACTGTCATCATCTACTGTCTCTACTTCCTTCTGGGCCACAAATTTATCACCTGTGACACCTAATAAGAACAGTTTTTGTTAACCAAGAATTTTTGTCTCCTTTTTTTGAAATTTTGAAATACAGAGGAAAATATCAATTTTGCTGAAATTAAAAAAAAAAAAAAATTACTGTATTTGACAGTGGCCTCAATATGTTCCCAAGGTTCCCAAGCAGTTCTAGTTTGGTCATCTTCTGTCATCTACTGTCATCATCTACTGTCTCTACTTCCTTCTGGTGCAGCTTGCACCAACCAGCTTGTTGTTCAACAACTTCCTGTGTTGAAGGGTGGTCATATGTCTCCCAGCTTGCACCAACAATTTAGCAAGGATAAAAGATTGGGGTGCCTCGGGAAGAAGTCATCTAGCTTAGGAGGTCAGCCTGTGGGAGAGTTTCAAACACAAGAACGGCAACCTCCATGAGGTCTCCATGCAGAGACCTGAGCGGCCTCAGCTCCCAGTCAGCTCTGCAGGATATGCTGGGTAATTAGAGTTCAACACTGGTGAATCCAATTATGACATTTAGTTCTGACCAGAGTTTGGATATTTCAGCTTCTTATTCTAAATTAGAAAGAAAGAAATGTTGGACATCCCCATAATACAGAACTTTGGGGTTTTTTTCTACAGCAGGGGTGCCTACTGTTGAATCACTGTATTTGGCCAGATTTCACTCTCTTAGGCAATAAATATGCGACACTTTATTTACTTTAATCAGCAGGTATGACTAACCCAATTAAAGCCAATTAGCAAGACTGTTCATCAAAAGGGTGTTGAGGCCTCACTATCAAGATCTTAATGAGTTTCCTATTAGTGCTACAACAGCACTGGGTCCTTTAGCAGAATAAACGTTGTAAGAGTTACTGTTCACATAGTGATCAATACAATCCCACTCCACCCCTATGTAACCCTATAATCTAGCAGACAAATCCTAAAACTTTGGCTATTGGTTAGGTGATTTGATTCAATATTCGAAACCAAGGGGCTTTATTCAATTTCTTTTTTAATTTAATGATTCAAAAATATTGAGAATGCAAGACGTACACCCTGAAAGGTCATAATTAATGAAGAGAGCAAACTGAAATCCTAATAAATTTAAAGACCTCTGAACTTTGGGAGATCATAGGTTTGATGGGGGTAAATTATTCATCTCCCCATTTAGTTTTCTACCTTTGTGCTTTTCCTCCATACAGATGGTAAACCTTCCTGCTCAAATGACGCTGAGATTGGAATGGAAGAGGACACATTAATAAAGCCATGCTGTGATTTAAATTGCATAGATGGTTTTACCCGAGGCAATAAAACTTTTAAGTGCTCTAACAAATCATGGATGCTTCAAGGAGATAACTGCCTGTCCGGAACAATAAACAACCTGCTGAGTAGTGCCGAGGTAACATTTATGAGTTTTCTAGAGTTTGGGGGTGAGGGAGGTAGGAGAGAGCAACAATTTTTGTTGGGTAGTTTTTTTGCTTAACATAATCTAAAAACAAGCATTCAAAGTGTTCAAAAGCATTCAAAAATCAAAGATTTAATTACAACTATCTTTTAAAAGATATAATGAATGACTGGCTATCTCTACACAAGTCTGTGAGAGAAGCTAGCTCCCCTTCTCTGGTCCAGAGGGCTCGTGGCACTGCGTGGCTAACACCCGTACACATGAACGCGCTCTCCCCCAGGCAAGGTGACCTTATTCATAGCGTCCAGTGGGAGCAGTGGCTGTCCTGGGGTGTTTTCTGAACCATACTTGGGTGTTGCCTTGGTGAACACTAGTTGGCATTAGCCCAAACCATGCTACCGAATTCACCAACAACGATGCAGTTGCAACGATGCAACAACGACACTGCCCAGCCTCAGACCTGGGCCCTGTTTAGCGTGCCCCCCTCAGCCATTATGAAGGATGATCAAGCTCCAGGAAAATGTCACATATGTGATGTATTGTCACCTTTTGTTCCAGTCCTTGCTCAACGATCCAGAGAGAGATAAAATCCTACCTGCTTACCTTGAAGATCTTAGGAAAGAGATGGGAACGGAGAAAATAAACAGATCTGCAAATGTAGGTGCAGTTGTTACCATCCTGAGTATGGTCTCCACTATCCCAGTGGAGGCAAACAAGCCCACTATTCAAGTAAGTTTTTATTTTATGTCTTACATATACATATTAAGCCCTTCAGCCCCTTTTGTCACAGAGGATGACATTCTCCCTGAATAAAATTCACAGCAAGTTAGGGTCAGGAGCAGAAAAGTATTAAGGGAATGAGATGAAATGACAGCAAAGATGAAATTACAGCAAAGATTCAGAAGATTTTATGAAAAGTCAAAATGATGAAGACAAGGAGCCTATGCATGAAAGAGAGCCTGCTGTATGCTTAGAAACTAAAAATCTTCTAGGGATCCCTAAATGTCTCTAGCAATCTAAATTAGAGGAAAGAACAAGGAACGATGAATGAAAGATTAAACACGTGGCCACAATATGTGCTTGCAGCTCAGAAAGACAACTGTGTCCTGAGCTGCATCAAAAGCAGCGTGACCAGCAGGTTGAGGGAGGGGATTCTGCTGCTCTACTTCACTCTGATAAGACCCCACCTGCAGTACAGCATCCACCTCTGGGGTGCCCAGCACAAGAAAGTGGGTCCAGAGGAAAGCTGGAACATCTCTCTTTTGAGAATTGGAGCTAAGAGAATTGGGGTTGTTCAACCTGGAGGAGAGAAGGCTCCACGGAGACCTTACTGCAGCCTTTTGTTACTTAAAGGGGGCTTATAATAAAGATGAAGAAAGACTTTTTTACCAAAGCCTGTAGTGACAGGACAAGGGGCAACTGTTTTAAACTAAAAGAGGGTAGATTGGACATAAAGAAGAAATTCTTTACTGTGAGGGTTGTGAGACACTGGAACAGGTTGCCCAGAGAAGTTGTGGATGCTCCATCACTGGAACAGTTCGAAGTCAGTTTGGGTGTCCCCGCCCATGGAAGGGAGGTTGGACAGGATGATCTTTAAATGTTAGAACCATTCTGTGATTTCATGATTCTTTAAGTAGGAACAGAAATAGAAAAAAACAAAGGAGTTGAAATAAGGATTGATTAACAATTAGATGTTAACAACAAATGAATGGCAAAAAGTATCTTAGAAATATTTGGAAACTCTGATTATGAGGTAACAGATGAAAAGGACTGCTTTTCTGAGCAGAAAAGCACAAAGAGATTTGATGTTTTGTAGCTGGAGAACACTTCATGAGAGAGAGTGAGAAACCAAAGATAGCACAAAGGCTGAGAAAGAAGGGAAAGAAGGATGGAGAAGAAAAAAATACTATGTAATATGTAAAAAAAAAAAAGCCACACAGCTCCACTTTTGGAAACCTTAATTTGAAAATAGAGCATTAAGAATGTTAACAACTGAAGGTTTCACATAGATTGAGAAAATACAAAAATGCTGGGCTTTTTCAAAAAGCAATTCTAGAACCATCAGAAACAACAATGATATGTATGGGATTTCAGTAACAGCATTTTTCTGTTGTTATTCCAGAATTTCCTTTCCATAGTGGACTTTATTGTTGTAAATTCCACACCTGAAGCTTGGAAACATCTGAATAACCAGGACGGACCCAAAAGTTCTTCATTGATGAAGTCGATAGAAAATTTTACCCTGAACCTCCAACCAGTTAATAATACCATCCCTCTTGTCCGTGTAGAAAACCTTCAACTACAAGGTATAACTGTCACAGAAAATAGCACAAGTTATAATAAGACCTTCCGCAGTAAAAACAACCTCACAGTTGATCTGTTCATTGATAAAACTGAAGTTCAGACTCTAACCCCAGATTCAACCATCGTCAGTGTGATGTACTCAAAACTTCGAGGTATTTTGCCCCAGAGTAGGTACCAGACTGTGAACGGCTTAATCATAACAACAACTGTGAGCAGTAACAGAAGCCAGAATTTCAAAATTAATATGATCTTTGAAAAGATAAACTTATCTCTAAAGAGACCCCAGTGTGTCTTTTGGAACTACACACTCAACAAACCTGAAGGTGGCTGGGATACTCAGGGTTGCACAGTCACACAGGGAGAAGATAATTATGTCTATTGCTCCTGCAATCATTTGACATCATTCTCCATTCTGATGTCACCTGATATACCCTCCTCGATAAACACTGAAGATTATATTACCTACATTGGCCTGGCGATTTCAATCTTGAGTTTGGTGAGTTGCATTATAATTGAATCCTTAGTCTGGAAGTACGTGACGAACAACACCACCTCCTACATGCGCCATGTCTGTATACTCAACATAGCTACATCCCTCCTGATTGCCAACATTTGGTTCATTGTCACTGCCTCTATCAGTGACCAAAAACAAGAGAAGAGCAAAGGTATCTGTTTTGTGGCCACCTTCTTCATCCATTTATTCTACCTGTGTGTCTTTTTCTGGATGCTCAGCCTGGGCCTCATTCTTTTCTACAGACTGGTCTTCATCTTGCATAACACAAGCAAGACCACACAGAAAGCAGTGGCATTCTGTCTGGGATATGGATGCCCCTTTGTCATTGCAGTCATCACCCTTGCTGTCACACTGCCAAGGAACAGTTACACCAGAAAAGATGTCTGCTGGCTCAACTGGGAGGACAGCAAAGCTCTCTTGGCCTTCGTCGTGCCTGCCCTGATCATTGTGGTCATGAATTTGTTCATCACCGCAGTTGTTATAATAAAAATACTGAGGCCAACTATTGGGGATAGGTCAGACAGGCAGGAGAGGAAGTCTTTGTTTCAAATTGGAAAAAGTGTGGCCATCTTAACACCACTGCTAGGCCTCAACTGGGGATTTGGCTTTGCCACCATCATCAAAGACAGCCATCGAGCTTTCCACATCCTCTTTGCCCTGCTCAATGCTTTCCAGGTGAGTAACACATATGTATGATTTTGTTTCCTTTATGACCATTTAACATGTAGTGACATTCCTGCAGTGCTGTGCTTGGAGAGGGAATAAAAAAACAGCCTAGGAAAGCTCAGGGTTGCCTTGCACATCCTTATTACCGAAAGGCTCTTTGGAAACCCATTCCAGGAATGCAGCAGTATTTCGTATTCTCAGCTCGATAAAGCTGACATATAGATAATGTCCAACTTTGCCAGTAGATTTGGGAAGAACTTAATTCCTGAAGATAAGGAAAATAGCCTTATTATGTTCAGGTGGTGTTAGGCCCTGGTCCGATTGTTGATCCGGGAGGGGTTCATAATGATTCCGGGGGTTCTCACATGTGGACAAGCTTCAGCATGTCTGGTCTCATTTACAGACCATCTGGAGGCATCATATAATGCTCTTGTGGGTTCAAGTAATGGGGAAGTATGAACAACATGAAAGTCACCAAGGACAGCTAAGGAGCACTACTAATAAAGAGAAGAACTAAGCAAAAACCACAGGATTGAGAGTTTTCAATTAGTATGGTTTTTACAACAACAATATTTAGCTGGCCAGTAGGATCCCAATACAATGGGGATTTCTTAAGGAAACAAGTTATGTATACTTGGTCTCTTAAGAATGGCCTCAAAATTGTATGCTCCAGACCAAAGAGGCCTTTTATATTGTCAGCCTGTTGGCTTATCTGGGGAGCATAAGCAGGGTATGTCTTCCATACACAAAGGTCCCTTCTTCCAAATGTGGGAAGACTCACTCCCCTAGTGCTAGCAAACTATCTCTGTCACTTTTGCAGACCAGATATGCACACAATTTAAGTAGACCAGGCCTGGAGAACTCCTACCACATCAGCAGTTGATTGAGTAAGACACAGTTAGAAAAATGCCCTTTATCAAAGAGTTCGAAGTTCAAATAATCAACATGGACAATGTTTGAGATAACTATGGGTTACTACAGTTAAAAGGTTGCTATCATCAAAATTCATGTAATTATCTGTCTCCTAGGGATTATTCATTTTGGTGTTTGGGACTCTCTGGGACAAGAAGGTAAGAATTCAAACTATTTCTGACATTATGTGAAAATACTGTTAGAATTTGAACATAATTGCTCTATTTACTGATTGATAATTTTTTTTTTAACAAATAGATACAAGAAGCCCTGTTGAAGAGGAATTCAATGTCCAAATGGAGTTCACAGCAAACAAAGGTTAGAACCTTGATCTAAGAATGTATCTTAGAGCTATTGCTTAATAGCCTAACATTCTCCAAGTGTCTTTTACGTCAAATGCACTTTATATTCTGAATTATTTATTAGAACTAGTCAGAGAACAAGAAGACAACATAAATATGAATATACCTCCTTTTTCAGAGTTCATTATTTCACCTATAATTGGTAAAAAATGAGAAGAAGTTTGGTGGACATTTTCTCTAAATTCCACAAGAAACAAACCACAAAATGTAATTGAAACATTAAGCTAGAAAACAGAAAATTTCAGTGGCAACATAATTTATTCACAATCTAAGAGGTAACTTCTTGAGGAAGGTGCCTGTCAGCTACGAGTAGGAAAGGATGGAGATATCACAAATGGAACTCCTGAGACAAGGAGACAGGTTAGCCTGTGCTTTATGCTGGGAATAGAAAATGGGAGGAAGTATGAATTATTTGTCAAAATCATGTCTATATACAACAAAGACTCGGATTTCAGTGACAAAAGACAGAACATAAATGAATGTGGTTCTGGAACCATGTGGCCTGGACACACTCCTAGAAGAGAAGGGACTTGGGTCCCATACACAGAGAATTCCTGCATTTAACCCAAAATATTCAGTGCCTAAAAAAAAGAAATAATGTTGCAAACTGGGACAGAATCCTTATGGAAGATCCTGGAAGGCTTCTCTTCCTCCTGCAGAGACTTTTTCTGGCCTAGTGACTACTGCACTCATCTCTGCACAGCTTGAATGGGCATCTGGAAGTGCTTCTGCTCGGGATAGGCATTTGCATTAAAGGCGAAACCAGTTCCACTACCATCTTTAAAACAAAAAATAAAGTTTGCACAGTGCCTCGGGAAAATGACTCTGAGAAATACAATTAGAACAGAAATGCAGACAGTGCTCCTGGTAAACAGAGGTCTAACAGTACCATGGAACAGTTGAGGTTGGAATCATCTAGCGCTAACCCACTGCTCAAAGCAAGCTACACTAGAGCAGGTTGCTTAGAATGTTGTCCCATCAGGTTTTCAGTACCTCTGAAGCTGGAGAATCCACTTTGGACAAAAAGTTGCGGTGTTTTGCTACTCCCACCATAAAAAAAAAACAAACTTTCTCTTATGATTAAATGGAATTTCTTCCTTTTCAATTTGTGCTCCAGAGATAAAGTCTCCAATTAAAAATGCTCAGTGGCTGTTTGAAAAGGGTAAAATAGGCTTCACCTCCTACAAGCTACTAGGAAGCAATGGAGCTAGACTGTCTTGTGCCAGCCATGTATTTGCTCCCTTCACACCATCTAATCTTTAGCAGCTCATGGTTCCTCTCTCCTTGCATTCCCGACCTCCACACATTTCATGGAACCATAGGTCTTTCATCCAAAATGCTTAAAGGGAGGCAGAGCCATTCAAGCCACAGGAAAATGCTGGCACAGGGACAAGTGAGCTTAATTAAGTTTGAAAAAGATATAGCGCAATTGGAAGGATGCAGGGCAGAAAAAGTATCAAAGAGGTAGGAAGATTGCTGTGCTACAATGACAGAGGACTCTTCAGCCTAGACAGCTGATGGAGAATGTGGGAGTGATGTATGCTGCTACGAGGCCATGGAGAAAATACGCCATCCAGTTTGATACTTAAGCACTAAACCTGACCCTAATGAGGGGCAGATTCAAAGCAAGCAAAGGAGATAGAGACCTCCTTGCTCCTGGATGTTGTGGATGTTTGATATTTTCCTGAATTTTCTTACAGTTTATTTCATTTTGTGTAAGCTTAGTAGGCCACTAAGGGCTGTTGAACACCAGGGTCTTGCCTCTGCCCCCAGAAGTCCCTCTACTTCTGACAGCCAGAGATAGAAAGAACATTCTGAACATGCCCTGCTACAAGCCTACTTTGCTTCTGTGAAAGTCTTCCCTAGGGCCTCTGCTATAGTCCATGTTGGACAAGCAGCAACTGGGCTAGAGGATCCTTGCATCCAACCATGTGCAAATCTACTTATGGCGTTAAGCAACCACCACCCATTAGAGAGGCTGGCGAATGGTCTCTCAGTGTCTGGGGAATGGTGTCTCAGTGTGAACTAAGGAGGAAAAAAACACAATTAATTGCTTTTACAGTGAGGCTTGACAAACCTCTTAAAGGGAATTTAGGAGGCTGACCATACAGGTTGGTCATAGGCTCAGTGACCCAGGAGGATCTTACAGCCCTAGAAGAGGGCCAAGAGCTATGGACTAATAGTCATCTAACAAAGAACTCTGCTGGCTGAAGTCATGTTGGAGCTACAGGGTTGTTTGTTACCCTCTTCCCGGTGGTGCCAAAGGTGTGTTCATCTCTACTTCTGCACAGGAGGAGTCACATTCCCAGACACAGCATATACAAAAGTTTCAGCCAACAGGAATAAGATACCTCTATCTGGAATGGCTGCATGAGGATGAATAACTCTGTGTATTCTAATCAATAAATGCTTGTTTCAACTTACACTTCTACATTTATAAACCCTCATGAAAAATGCCACGCCCGGATGAGTAAGGGGTTGACAGCATCATAATCTAACCACTGGCACCTGGGGTAGAAAAAGAATATGGTGGTATATGCTAGCATCACTCTTAAATGACAACAGAGCTTAGTGTCATATTGGTATCTGAACAGGGTTTATTCAGAAAAGCTATAGAGGTGTTGGTAAAGAACTGGGAAGCAGACTTAAAAACCGGCACAATTAAGACAGATGGGTACATAATCTCAAAGGAATTAAGGAGTCCATTAAAGATGGACTATCAGCTCAGAGGAGTAGTGTTGTCTCAGATCATTCCACAAGAGTGAACTTTTCCACAAGAATCACAGAATTGCTGAAGTTGGAAAGTACTTCCAGAGATACCTGGATCATAGCACCCTCCCACTCAGAACATGGACAGTTAGAGCTCAGAGCCATGTCCAGCTGGGTTTTGAGTAGTTCCAAGGATGGAGACTCCACAATCTCTCTGTGCAGCCTTTTCCTGTGTTTGACCACCCTCACAGTGAGAAAGTTTCTTTTTAAGTAGGATTTCCTGTATTTCTGTTTGTTCCCACCGCCTCTCGTCCTTTCACCGGGTACAAACGAGAAAAGTCTGGCTCTGTCTTTACTCCTTTCCAGTCAGGCGGCCCTCAGCATGTCCTGTTGCATGGGGTTGCTCCTCTCCAGGGACAGGAGAACTTTGCATTTCCCTTTGCAGAGCTTCATAAGATTTCTGTCATCCCCTTTCTCCTGACTGTTGAGGTCCCTCTGAATGACACCAGACTCGATCAGCCACTCCTTCCAGTTTTGCATGACTTTGCACCCACTGCAGACTTGGTGAAGGTGCACTTTTCCCATCATCTGTATCATTAATGAAGATGTTAAACCATTACTGGACCCAGTAGCCACCACTGAGCGTGTCCTCTCCAACGATGTGCTGAAGGCCCAGGAGGAGACAGCCTGTGATTAGCCAGGCAGAGCAGCGCTCTAAGTTTTAACTGCTCTGGCCACCTGCCACATTCAGATCTTATGTCAGCATGAGAAAGGAAAGATGCAGTTTCTGCCTCACTTTTCTTCATTTAGGATCCCCAGAATCATCCACCTGGATTTTTTTTAACTGGTTCTCCAAGCATTCCAGTGTTTTCTGCAGGAGGGTGACTCCTGGGAATCCAGGACTGGGAACATTTCCTAATGCGTTTCTAAAGCACCATTCCTTCTTTCTGGCTTGAAAATAACATCTGCTTGATGTGCTGCTGTTCTGACTGTGGGAAAAAGTCAGTTTTCCCAGGAAACTGGAAGGAAAGGCAGGAATAACTGATATGACTATCATTAAGCATGTTAGTTTCTTCATACTTCATTCCCTCCATTGACACATCCAGCAGAGTAAACTAGAGAGAACAAGTTGTTAAGTCTTGGACCCCAATTCTGAATTCCTTTTCAGACAGAATCTCCTGGGCCAGACACTGTGGAAGCTGCCACAGTTGTGGAAGCTGCCCCAGGCAGTGGGAACTGCCATATTTCCTTGGCAGTTCTGCTGCTGATAAGGAATAAATAAAGTGAGATAAAAGTCTTTGATCAAACTTTTTAAATGTGATTCATTTACCTTCTTCCTCTACCACCTTATATCAGTGACTACATACAAAACTGCCTATTTTCCCCCACAATGGTATAACCTAATGAATGGAGAGGGACTGAACAGAAAAAGATGTATTATCTGTGCTTTTTAAAAACATATCTGCTGGAGGAATCCCATTAAACTCTCAGACCACTCCAGAAGTGAAAAAGAAACTTCATTTCATTAGCAGAAAGTTTCTTCCTGACCATCTGGACTGCAGAGTTGTGTTCCAATGCCCTCTAGTGTGTCATGTTAAATTTGCACCTGATTATCCCAAGTTATTGGCCTTCAATGATCATACCCAAGCATATAAATCTTAGATTTCTGGCTACCCTAATGGATATACTCCCTCAGATAAGGGACCAGAAGTCTGTGCTGTCTGATATGACAGACTCGGGAGCCTAAGCCTTGTTCCCTGGCCAACAGTTAGAGACAGGCTGTTTGTGTCCTGTAGTATATTTTAAAGTTTATCTCTGTCATTTCCATGCAAAAGGGTGAATTTGATGCCTCACAAACATCTAACTTGCCCCGCTGGGGATTGCCTGCTTGTACTACTGAACAACATTTTATTCTAACCTTTTTCCTCCCCTCAGAGTGGCTAGAAAGGAAGTTCCAGGCTTTTGACAAAAAGTAATTTTCTCTTTTACAGTCATCCTCCCTGATCCTGGTGACACCAATGCTTGCTATGAGCTATCCATTTTCAAGAACCTTTAACAACTTATGTGGGAAAACAGGTATGTGACAATAGATCTCTCCTACTGAAGCACAAACAAGGTTTTCCCTGAGTTCTCACTCCCAGGTTCTGTCTGTCCTGATGTCTATCAATCTCTTTGTCTATCCATCCATCCATAGATATATTTCATCTTCTAGGATGAAGGAACTGTAATAAGTCATTGGAATCACTAGAATAATTACTCATGACTATAGTATAATGATAGCAGCATAGCTGTCAACACTAAAGCAAGTATTGGGTGGTGGCATGTTTCACAGTTCTACAAACCACTACCTGACCTTCGTTTTGGGGTTAATGATGTCACGGCACAGCGCTCCTCAGTTCATTTACTGTTCATGTACTCTTCACCAACTTGGAGTTATATCTCTTCAAAAGCTTTCTGGCAGCCATTTTATGGATGTCACCATTTCACTTATGACTGCATTTTGCAAGAAGCATTGCTGAAAAGATGAGTAATTTCATTCCTAAATGTGCAATCTTTGCAACCAACCATCACTCACAGAAGATGGCGACATTTGGTGAAAGTGGGAGATGAAGGAGCTTAATGTCTGGAGTAATTTCATTCCTAAATGTGCAATCTTTGCAACCAACCATCACTCACAGAAGATGGCGACATTTGGTGAAAGTGGGAGATGAAGGAGCTTAATGTAGGCAAGCAACTGCTTTTTAAAAGTCTGTTTATCAGTCAGATAATGGAAGAAGTTGGTCTCTGACTGTGCTACAGTAATTTTGCATGAGCACACTGGCCAGATACACTGAGAATGGGACCGCCCATAAGAATGAGACTTGCCCACAACTTGCTTCTCATGATGCTGCCACCTGAAATTCCCATGTTATTAGCACTCTTGGGTTCTGTGCACCTGGGTCTTAGTTTAGAGCCCTTGTGGTCACATGACGGAGGGAGCTGGGATTCTTCTCAAGAACATGTGTTCTAGATGCATCCCCATGCTCGAGGAAGACAACTGAGTCTTCCATTTGCGTATATATCTACCCTGTGGCATAATCATCAGTTCAAGCTGACATATCCTGCCTGTGTCACCAAACACATTGATTTCTGTGATTACTGGTATTGCTGTAATCCAGCTCGTATCAGGGCTGCAGACCAAGTCAAAGCCACCTGGGTCATCAGGAGGCTTTGGTCACAGGTCACAGGTCTAACTGTCCTTATTTTGCAGTGCCAACATGTCCCATGCTATCTGTCTTTATGTCTAATCAGGGCTGCAGACCAAGTCAAAGCCACCTGGGTCATCAGGAGGCTTTGGTCACAGGTCACAGGTCTAACTGTCCTTATTTTGCAGTGCCAACATGTTCCATGCTATCTGTCTTTATGTCCACTGTCCTTTGTTTTGCAGGAAAATACAGAGTATCATCTTCAGAGCCATCCACCTCTTCCTCTGAAAACACTTCCAAGGCATATTCTTTGCTTAACTGAGGCACTGCAAATGCTAAATCACATAACTCTGAAAGGACCTCTGCCCTTTCCAAGACACATATGAAAAGCACCTGTGAGACACCAAGAAGCAGGCTGCTTCACTTTGACTAAACTGTGCCTTGATTCATTCTTCTGGAGTAATAATTTCTCGTTAACGTGTAAAGCAGGGAAGCTTTGAGAAGGGGAATTTTACAGGGGTTGCCAATCCCAGAAGAGATGACAAGATGTTTCAAACTTGGAAGGATCTGAAGGCCTTCGAGTGCTGGAAAAGACATTGGGAGTGAAGAATTCTTGGCCTTTAAGAGGGTGCTTAGCACTATGCAGTACTGAGCCATGAATTGCAGTGCTATACACAGCTGTTTCCCAGTGGTTTTAGTATTTCCGCTATCAACTCTCTGAATGATTACAAAGGCCTGTGTAGATACACAAGTACCTCATAGCTTCTCTCCTGCCTTCTTAATAGAGCCTGGAAAGGCCTTAGCGTATAGTGCTCTCCCCTTTCTATTTAAGATTTTCTGGAACCAAAGATTCACAGCTGAGAAGGTCCAGTTCAGACCTACACTTTTGGCTTAGATAAAATGAAGACCGTGATGACTCCTGCGTGGTCTTCTTTCAGATGGAATGTACTGAAAGCTCCATGTGGCACTTTTTTGAAGAAAAGGAAGCTTTATTTCCTCAACTGTAATTGTCCTTCCCTTGATATGTAATGTGGTAAGACAGAGATGGTTGCTGCCCTCTGCCACAGAGTGGACTGCCTTTATTTAATGCATAGTAGTGTTAAGTATGTGATGAGTCTCTTGTGTAAAGTTTGTATATTTGGGTCTCCTCTCAGAGGAGAATCACACTTGGAGGGCTCAGAGAGTCAACTCTGTAGTGACTATAAACCATCATGTGCCAGGCAGGATGAAAGGTTTTATATAAATTATTGCTCTAATGCTACATTTGTGGAAACAGTTATTTCCAAGCCTGTATACCTTCAAAGGCAGGACTCCTGTCTTAAGCAGAGGGCTATGAGAGAGCCTGCAAAATATTTATAGCGCACAAAAATGTTGCAAAACTCAATGTAAAATATGAGAGATGGAATCATGAAGATTCAAATTTGAGGCCAATATCAAATACTGCTGTCGGGTAGTACAGCCCCATTTGGTTGTTGGGGAACCAGACCTATGTTTACCAGGGGGAAACCTGTTCCAGGACTTTGGGATGAACCAGGATGGGAGACTGTTGCCCACAGTTACAGCCATGTGTAACAGTTTGGTGTGGGAAGGTGGTGATGACTGCAGACAATAAACAAGCATCAATCAAATGTATTATTTATATGAAAGTGATTTTTTTGTGCTTGAAGATGCAGATATAGTACTAGAACTAGAACACAGACATTAAGAAATATTTGGGAGTCCAGAATTTCTTTGAACTGCATGGCCAGTGGAAACTTGAAAATCAGGCCTTCACACGTTATTCCAACCAAAACTTGCTTTTGGACGGCCATTTGACCTAACCCACAATGGAATTCACTTGGGCAAAATTGACCTGCTGCAGAACCATCAACACTGAGCTAGAACAGGCATTACATAAACTGCCCCTGTAGACACCACAGTCCCTCCACATCTTATCTCCACAGCCATTTGGCTTTCAAGGTTTCACCACACCAAGTGTGGGTCTCAACTGTATGCGAAGTCAGGATGTGATGCTGAGCTGTCTGGCAATGAAGGGACATCTTTGGGTGGGTCTTAAAAGGCAAAGTCCTTGCCAGTGTTAGAAGGCCATAAATAAACCAGCCTGTGGGCCAAATGAGACCTTGCAGAATTTTTTCCACTTGCTGCCTGGCAGGAGGAGAAGGTCCTGGTTGCTCCCGGTCCAACACTGCTGTGAACATCTCCCAAATCATTTAGCCTGTGCTGTCCCCAAGGCCAGGAGAGCCAGGGAAGCAAAGGAATCAGTCCACAGCCATCCCTGGAGCAGTGATGGCCAATCAGCACTGCAGTGACAGCCCCTGTTCAACTGCGGGTCTGCAGGAGCCAGTCATGCTGGGAAGGATGAGGTCTCTTGTTATCAGCAAAGAAAATATGTGTCCATAAGAACTGTCTAGTTCCAGTCCCAGCCTTGGATGAGGGAACAGCCACACAAGAGCTGGCTCACTGTGATGCTCTGAAGTGTTAGAAAGAGGCTTCTTATTGCACCAGCAGAAGATCTGGCAGTGAGGTGAGGAAGCAAAGATATGTGGGGTGGTTGTTTATGAGCACCCAAGTAATTTAAATTAATTCTGAAATGCCTCAGCAATCACTTCAGAAGCCTTTTCTACCCTTTTACCCATGGAGCCTGGGCTGCAGATCCTATTTTGCCTTGAGTAAGTGAATGAAGCAGGTTCACACATTTGAATGATGCCATAGCTAATTAGAATCATAGAATCATAGAATGGGTAGAGCTGGAAGGGACCTTAAAGATCATTTAGTTCCGACCTCCCTGCCATGGGCAGGGACACCTCCCACTAGACCAGGTTGCTCAAAGCCCCATCCAGCCATGTCTTGGCCTTAGAAAACCCACAAGAGATAGAAAAGTCACCTTGCTTGAGAAGAACTGCTGTGACAGCTCTTCCCAGGAGAGCTTCCCATCCTAAACCTGGGGATGGGAGCTGGAAAAGCTATGCTTCCTTGCTTCTGTGCTCAGGCAGCTTGGGCTGTGCCTTTTACATCTCTTCCCTGTAGCCAAGAGCTACCTACAAGCAATGCTGACAACACCTGGTGGCTCCAAAGGGTCTTCTCTAGGTTACACTGATCTTTTGCAGAAACTAAGAG